AAATATAATATAGTAAATATTTAAGTGGTATAGGTAAAGTTTGATCTGATTGGTCATTTATTTCTATTATAAAATGATTGAAATATGAATTTTTATATTGTTTATAATAAGATTTCTTGATCTGAAATGTAAAAAAAATATTTTTCTGGTCAAAGCAGTTTAAAATTTTAAATGGTTACATTTAAACTACATCTTTTATATTAGTGTTAATGAGCCGAAGGCAATTGACCTCAGAAATCACATGAATGAAATAATCCTATATATGTAGGGATGGCATAAAAACCATTTTTACAGGTTTAAAACATGTGATGGGAGTTTATAAGATTAATAGTGTCAGAATTAAAATGTGAACAAATTATAGAACAAAATAGAATAAAAATTGAACTTTTATCAGCGATTCCGTTTAATGTCAAATTTACGAGTCATTGAATATAAAATTTATTTATTAAAATAAAATGAGTACAATGAAATTGGTGCTTCTAAAAATTATTTAATTTTAACTTCTTGATATTTATTTTGCAGTTGTTAAGTATTATTTCTGGTCTTTTTTTTCTGCGATTATTGTGTGAATTCTTATCAGAACTTTCTTCGGTACTTTGTTATGAGGAATCAGCTGGCAACCATGTTGAATCACTTGAATCTGCCGTAGTGGCGAATAGCTGTGGAGCCTCTCTTGAGCGTAACTGGTTGCTTAAGCTTAAGCGTGTCTGGTTGCTTGAGGATCCAATAGTTGTCTGCATAGAGGAACTAATAATTTGTTCTGGTAGATTACTTGTGAATCTGGTAGCTATTAGTTTTTTGGAGAAATTGGGGTGCAACCATAATGAATCACTTGATATTTCTGGCCTAAATAGGTTGCTTGAAGCTGGTTGGTTATTTAAGTAGCCAGTTGTTCGCCAAGAGAAGCCGATTATTTGTTCTGGCAAGTTACTTGCTGAGGCAGCTGTTATTAGTCTTGGTGAATATTGGTGGTAGAAAAAGCGATAACGGTTTGATTTTTCTTGATTAACTGCTTGACTCTCTGGCCTTATATCGACAACCGGTAATGGCTAATTATTTGTGTGTTGCTAAACTTGCTCTTCATCAAAAACTGCCTGGTTGCTTAATGTTTCAGCTTCAATATTTTTAATTGTTTCTTTAGACTTCTTTTTTTTGGAGAAATCTAAGTTTGGGGGTAGAGTTGTTAGGATTTCACATTCACTATCGCTTGTTTCTTTGGTTACGGCAGATACGACAGCAGGTGATGTTGTGTTTTGCTTTATTCTTCTAACGAAAAAGCCACCACAGGTTTTATGACCACACATTGGACAATACCAATGTCAGCAAGTTGAACAGTATGCGCTAAGAAACCAAAAATATATATTACAAGATGTTTTTCTCATAATTGTTTTTACCTTTTAAAATATCATATAAGTTGGAATTTTATATTTGGCTCTTTTTCCCAATTTAGATCAGCCACATAAATATTGATCTCCTTTATAATTTTTTTTTAATACATGCTTTTTTATACAAGTACCAATGAAATTACTATTGTACAATTTCTATAATTCATGTATTAAAACTTAAATTGAACTTGAACTAGAGTAGTTTTTATATTTAACATTAACATTATTGCCAAATATGGCTAAATACGTTATAATAGACTTAAAAACTGGTCAATATTATACTTTGTATCGAAATTATATAATTCAAAAGATATCTCAGTTAATTGCTATGACTCATACTGTCTGTTATAGATAGTTCAAATTTCCAGTCTTTTTTTAGGTGATCTCTATCAGAAAAGATCATTAGTATTAAAAAGCCACATGATTATATAAATTCATATCATTATATTAGATAAGACTACTTTGTAATAGTAATATTTTTATTGAAATATGCGATTCTAAAGCATGAAAGTGATATTTTACCTGAAACACAAGTGAAAAGTTTATCTTACAATTCTATTGCCATACCCCTATGGAAGTTCGAATTTTCAATCATTTTTTATGCAAATAAAATAGAACTTCGTGACTTTCCGCATCAGGAAAGATTGTTAGGCAATATAGATCTTAAAGTATAAAAGGCTACATTGTGTATATAAATCACAATAGCACCTGAAAAGTTTATCTTACATGAGATTCTATCAAAATTATCAAGTCTATTGATTGACCTCTGTACAGTTGATATTTTATTGTCAGATTCGAAATATAAATAATAAATTACTTCTATTAACATATATATTAGCATAAATTAGCACATTAGGTCATAAATAAAATTTCTTGATTTTTTTTATTCATACATAATTAAATATAAAGATTGATTTATTGTTATTTGTAAATTTATGCAAGCTTCTAAGAAATGAGTAAAAGATTGAGAAAAAACTCAAGAAAATCTGATGGCTATATTCCAGAAAATCAAGAAAAAGCTTATGAACATTCGCTTGGTTTTCCAGATTCTTTAATATTTTCTCAAGATAAGAAATGAAAATGTAAAATTAAAAGAGAGAATTAATAATTAACTTCCGACAGAAACAGAAACAGATGCTGAAAAAATTATTGAAATAAATCCCAAAGAAATAATTGAAGTAAATCAAGAAATTGGTAAAAGAATCATAATGAATTGATTCCCAAGGAAATTATCGAAAAGCAACCTACGGGATTAGATCATAAAGCATGTCAGAGTGAAAGACTAAAGAATAAATGCAAGATTGATTATGCTGAAAGCTCACGTAAAAAATCCAAATTCAAACCTACGTGAGTATATTATATTTTCACTATTAAATGAAAATGTATACAGTATTAATACTTAAGTTTATTAATAGCGATGAATTAACAGAAATGATAAATCAAAATGCTGAATTGAAAAATCAAATAGAGAAATTAAGAAAAGATTTTGAATTAATGAAATCTACTCTAGAAATTTTGTTAAGACCAAACAACTCTTTGCCGAACTTAGAGACTTAAAAATTAATTGATGAAACATTTTTGAAACTTCATGAAGAGCTCAATGATATACAGCCTGTTAACAATTCACAAACATTGAAGCCTATAATAATACGATCGGTGAGAAATCATCAATTGAAAAGAATGCCTTTTTAAAATTTCTTATCTTTGTTTATTTAGACTTTGAAGCCTTTAACCAACAAATTTTAAAAATGATTAATAATCTAAAAAGCGACTTTAAGTCAACAGAATATTATTGGTACTGGATCGATAAATTTGTTTCTGGGCATAAATTTTTGGAAACAATTTCACAATTAAAAAATGGATTGGAAGAAGTGAAAAATTGAAATCTTTAAAATGAGTACATGAATTAGATGAAAAAACGTGCTTTCATATTTATTAATTCAATTAACTTGAAATAAACATCTTAAAGTAATTAATTTGACAATTTTACATAATTTCAATTTATTTTTTGCTCCTTGTTTAAAAATATATGACTTATTTAAAGTTCATAATACCTATACATTTCTTGAATCTGAACAATCACGAGATGCACTCCGCGTAATTAGACAATTACAGATAAAATTCATACCTTATACAATAACATGTCAAATTGGTACTACTCATCTGATTGGTTGATGCAATCAATTGTCTGGGTAACTGAGCTTTATTTAGAGTACTTTTTTATATTAATATCATATCCAATTATTGTGTTTTTATTATCTATTATCTTTATATATGTATAATACATGTAATCTGATGTAATCCAGTTTTCATTCTTGAAATCGAGATCTTTTAAAAACTGGTATTAATAAAGTAAATTTTATGAAAATCATGTAATTTCTATCATAAAACCGGAATTGAACTTAAAGTTAGAGTAGTTTTTATATTGGTATCAAATTTGGCTTAAATATATAGTAATTTTTTTTGATATCGATATTGTATAATTCAAAAGAGATAATCTCAGTCAATTTCCATGACCCCTATGGACAGTTTGAATTTTCGATCTTTTTTTAGAGCATTACACAAACAAAATAGAATTTCACATGATTTTCCACACCATAAATCTTAAAGTATAAAAAAAGCCACACGATATAAATCTATATCAATATTAAATATGAAATATGACTATGATTAATATTTTTAATGAACCACGTGATTCTAAAGCCTGAAAAGTTTATCTTACATGAGGTTTCATCAAAACTATCAAGTCATAGATTGAAGTAAAATTTTACGCGATTGAAGATGCAAACAAATAAAAATTTGCATAATTTTAGTATAAAGGTCACGTTTGTTTGATCTTCTTTAAAATCTCAAGTTTAGTATGATATCTCTCTATCTACAAATATAATAATATCTCGCATTAGAAGAAATAAAATTCCACACATTAGAAGAACCGAAATTCCAAATATTACTTTATCTAGAATTGATTATAACAATTATAGACAAAAATTTCCAAGTTCTTTAAAACAAAGTGTTTCCTTTTCCAATCAATTAAATCTTCATGAACAATTAAGGATCATTAAAGACAGAAATGATTTTACAAACGAATTTTTTACAGCTGCAAAAATTTATACTAATAGTATAAAATCAATTGCTTTTTGTTATTTCTAGTAAATTTTTTATATTGTGTAATAAGTAAATATCTTTATTAACATTACTAGATCAATCCAAAAAGATAATAAACTCCAACTATAATGCTTGTCAAATTACTATCGAAGTTGATAGTGATTCTTCATTGACTGACACCTCAGATTCTGACTCGGAACCTTACACAACTGACGATGAACTTATTTTACAACAATCCAGTTTATTAAATGATGATGAATGGTTAATTAATAACAATGATGATAAACAGTTAATTAATAATAAAGTTCTTAAAGTTCAAACAGAATTCAAGAATATCTAAGAGCAAGCAACGAATAATTGTCTACAACCTGCGGCTATCAATTCTTTACAATCAAAATTTTCTAATGATTGACAAAGTCAATTGCAAAATATTTACATTTGTCCACGTAATAATGACCAAAAATATAAAAAATTAAAAAAAATTTTATCTGCATTCATCGCATTTTCAATTTTAGCTCTTTTTTGGTATCATCAAAAAGTATTTTATACACTATAAATAATACTTACGTATTTATATTTTATGCTAATAACAAATATTTATTTTAGACAAATAACGCTACTATTAGCAAACTAATTGAAGTAACTAACAACTTAATTTTTGAAAAAGTAAACATCAAAACTTTTATCTACAAAAAAAAAATTTTCTAATATTAATATAAATTTATAGTACAATCTCTGGAAAATGCAAAACTTTTTGAAGCAGAAAATAATGTGTTGAAAATAGAAAACTATACGATGAAATCTGAATTAAGCAATTTAAAAGCAAAATGCACAGTCTTAGAAAAAGAAAATATCCATTTAAAAGAAAAGTACAAATCACAAGAAATAGGTTTCAGAAAAACAATCAAAGACCTCGAAATCACAATTAAAGACCTTGAAGCAGAACTCAGAAATAACGAAATAAAGTTTAAAGCAGAATGTAAAGAACTTGTAACAGAATTAAA